TGTGTTGTGGTTGCTTGCGCCACTCGCGACATATTCGCACAGAAAGAAATAGTAGAGGCAGCCGCATGAGACATCACGAGCCGGTTGGATAGAAGAATATTGCGGAGGTTCTCGCCTTCATCGTCTCCAGAACACCCTGACGCCAAGTATGATCTAAAGATCCTCCGTGGCTACGATGGTTTTGCAAGAAGATGCCTACAATATCCGAACTCGGCCTCCACCGACGCATGCAAACCTTGGCATTCCAACGGAAGTGCAGTTCGTCGTGCACACGAACCTCCAGCTGCCGCGTCTGAAGTGTCCGTGCGGCGATACGTTTTGTCAGGGACGAAACTTCCACGACCGGATGACCCTGTCCTCGACTTCGAATTAGAGGCCTTGTCCATGAAGCTGTGTAAAGTTTGTTCTGGCACCAAAATGTCTTGGAAACGATGCATGTGGGAGCCTTGGACCTCGACTGAATCAAGATAGTCTATATTACCGTGTCGCTACGCACATATTCTGTGTAACGTGTCATGTAAATAATATAGAACGGAGAACATGCCCTGCGCTCGTGACTTCCAACCTGCAAGCTGTCCAGCAAGCTTGGGAAGATATCGATATGGTAGACGCCGCGTGAACTTGGTCGGTGTTCGATCATGGTTGGAAGATCGGCTTGGGAAAAACGATTTGAGCCTGAGCTGTCACCATGCAGCGATAATTGTTTCTGTAGAGGCCTTGTTCACAGCGAGAAAAATTGAGCTGTATCAGTTTCAGAGAATGTGTGCTTGAGCTCCGAGGCTCTAGCCATCGTGTGGTTCCCCACTGGGCTTGAATTACAGTGACATTGATACTCGCAGTTTCTAAAACCAAGGAAGGGATGACTCGGAAACTTACAAGCATGGATGGTATTTCTGATATACATCCCGCCACCCACTGAGCGCTGAAGTTGCGCGGAGCATCCCCCCACTAGAATTTCTGAAGTCCGCACGACAGGATTTAGCTTCCTTGACGACATGGTCCCATCCAGCCCTGGAGGAAGGTAAAGGATAAGGACCATATTTGCGGGACATGACGAGCTTGGGCTTCAAGTTATGTATCATTTGTTGCTGCTGCTTTATCTTCGACTTCTCGTACAAGTTCATGTATGCTCCTCGCGTTCTCCGCCTGAGGATAACCGGGCGTCTCAAAAAGTACTCCAAGACACCCACAAGCAGTGAGGCTGCCATTAATTTATTTTCGATCAAGGGGGTGGGGCCCCGCACTTGCCAAATTGGGAGCATCAACCGAAGTCTGTACACATCACATGATAGATCGACGCACTCGATAGTGACACTGACAGCTGTAAATACAACGCAGATATCTTGCGCTGAAAAAGTGAATGAATCCAGGAGAGCAACCATGCAAAATGGACATGTCCGGGATCGAACCGGACCCCTCTCGCAAGTCACGTGACCTTCGTGCTAAGCGAGCGTGATCCTCAGCATCCTCGCAGGAATCGCGCACAGTTTACAATGCGATCGCCCTCGACGAGCACCCCCATCCTACACACAGAGTGTGCGTACTGTCTATCTCTTCGCACCATTAACGACGTGTTGTTTATAGATACACTGTTCGAGGGTTATCGCCCCGTGCTGACCACATCGCAATTGTGAGGCTGAAGTTGATCAAAGTATTCATGTTACCTTGTATTGGTTTGTTCGAATATGATAAAAAACATATGGACATGTCCGGGATCGAACCGGACCCCTCTCGCAGATCACGTGAGGACCGTGCTAAGCGAGCGTGATAAACCAACTACACCACATGCCCCTTGTATGACATGTATCCACAGTGTATATGAGGAGCGCCAATCGCGTCGCCGTCGCGATCGGCGCGCAATTGTAAGGCGCGGCCGCGCTCGCGTACGCTGTATGAACGCGCCGCCTCGTATAGCATTGTCCTGCGTACACCTTGACTTGCGCAATGACGTCATGCGCCTCTGCGTCCTGTATATATTCCCGCCGATGTCGTCCGCCCGCCTTCTTTGCTCTTTTCCTCGGCACTTCAATGCCTCATTGACGACACCCTCAGGATGCCACTTCAGAGCAGCGCCAATCTTACGCGCCAAGAACGCCTTGCGCAGCGCCTTGCGTCTGATCCTGCATTGAAAGCCCATTACAATTCCAGTCTCGACAAGCACCACATCAAGACTTTAAGCAGACCTGCCGTTCGTACTCATGAACGAATCCGCAAGTACTGGGCTGAATATGTCGATACTGTTGAGGATGGAGGACTCTCCCGAGACATTGTGATTGGTGCCAAGCGGCCGCCTCTTGGTAAGACTGCATATATGCGCTCATATTGATGGCTGATCATTGTGCCTAGAACACTGCAAAGGATTTGTGCGCTGGATGTCCATGTCGCTGAAGGGAGCGGTTAATCGCCGCTCGACGTTCATCTCTGTGCGATCCTTGACTATGTATGCTGCGGTCTTTCTAGCATGCTGGCCTCGCTATGCGAACATATTCATCTCGAAAGAGTACCGGTACCAAGTCTTGTCCTACATCAACGGAGACCTGATTGCAGCAGTTTCCATTCCAAGTGCCATGCGGGCAAAACCTATCGCTGAAACCGTAGACGTGACCATTGTTATTGACGCGTGTTGGAATGACACCACACATTTTCGGACAAATCGCATGCGTCTGCAATTAATCTTTGGGGTCGATTTTATCTCTATCACGGCCGAGCGATCAGGAGGTGTGGTTGAAAGCAGCTGTTATCTGGGAACTAATGAGGCTCTCGTATATGGCGACTTTGAATTCTGGTGGGTTCCTAGGAAGGATGATCCTTATCACCCATTGCTTGTCATACTCGGGGGCATTGGCAAGCTCAAGGGGGGGCGCCAGAATGAGGCTATGCGAAGGGAATTTTTCTTGTTTCTGCAAGGTTTGGCGCAGCGTGCATACTGTTCTAGCACTTTGCTCTATACTCTTGGCATCGAAGACAAGATCTTCATGGACGTCAGCTCAATGGCGGAGATTGTGACACCCAAAGTGCCAGTGACAAAGCCTCTCAAGCTACGCATACACCCAGACAAGAAGAAGCTTCTCATTATGCGTGATGAAGAGTATGATCAAGAGAACAAGAAGTGGGTCATATCCAAGACGCGCGCACTCCCATACATGCGCTTCACCAAACATATTCGCATCATGTGTCTACGTGCCGGTTTTGAATGTGAGTGTTGTTCTGTCCATACTATGCGCTGCCTCTGAGTTGTTATATAAAGCACACATCACGCCCCATTGCCTGCGACGTGGCCAAGCAAACAAGGTGAATTTGCAAGTGACGGAAGCTGAGCGCAATTTGATCATGGGTCACACGCCTCACTCGTCTGTCTTTCATGTACGTTTGTTCCCTTGCAGAGGTAGCATCCTTGGTGCTGACTTTGTCGCAAGAATGCGTATGCTAGTCGGACGTCCACAGTGGACCTTGCTAGCATATTCTTTCGCGAATCACAGGATGCAACCAGGGTCAAAATTATGCAGATATGTAGTGTACATTCTGCTATGGCATGTTCTCACAACAAAGCTAAGACAATCTTGTCCATGTCGAGAAACCGCGACTTGAATGCTCCTGTGGAGCTGCCATTTGAAGAGCGGCAAAAGTTATTAGACGAGCCCGAGCTGGTGGAGATGCTTGAGAGGCGTCAGATGGTATGTGCCTCCTAAGCTGTGATGGATGTGCATTGATATCTGGACACCCTAGCTTCTAGTCCAGGTGGCGGAACTGGAACAAACTCTTGGCCATGGGCATGATGAAGAGATTGAGTGTGAGATGTGTGCACTGGAGGAGGAAGCGGCGGTAGTGCTGCGTAATTACAACACGACCATTGAGAGGGAGACCAGAGTTCGGTTGGAGTTGGTGCGTGCACAGTATTTTGATGAAGCATCATACCGGGCGATAAATGGGATTGTGAGTAACAAGCCATGTGCAGAATGTGACCCAATTTTGATGTTTGGCCAGACTTCTGCCCGTACGACGGGCATGGCTGCACAAAAGCTACATGACATCCTGCCTTCAGGAGTAGGTGTTAAGGGACCTAACGACTGGGATCAGGAGTTCAACTGAAAACTAGA